AGCGTCCGGTTTTATTCCACTTGTCTCTGCTGGTTTTACAGTCTGTGGTAGCAGCCTCCAGGCCCCTCTCCCTCAGGAGTGTGTGTGTGTGTGTGTGTGTGTGTGTGTGTGTGTGTGTGTGTGTGTCTTTGTATATACACATGTGTGTGTCAGCTGGAGCGAAGCTGGCGTACAGGTGCGCCGCTGCCTCGCCAGCACTTCCTGGTAATTAATGACTTCTTCCTGCCTCTCTCCCTCTCTCGTTCTTTCTCTGTGTCTGTCTCTCATGGCTGCGATGGTGGAAATTGATGACATGTGAGCGTTTGCTTTTTCAGTCACACGAGGACAGAGTGGTCGAGTGGGAGAGGGAGCGATTTAGGGGAGAGAGACAGAAAACACTCGTATTTATAAGGAACGTCGAGCTTGTTGAAGCCAGTCAGCCATCCATCATGCCAGCTACTTTGTTCCGTTCTTTTTTTATGCCTCTCCCTTACTCTTCACCGTCTTTTATTCATCTTTTTCCTATCATGTCCTCTCTTTCCATTTCCTATTTGCCACTCGCTTTCCTCTTCTGCATTTCTCTCTGTTTCCGTCCGTGTCCATGCATCTTCCTCTCCCTTTCTCCCTCTCTCTCTGGTAATCTATCTTAGTTAATATCGTCTCTGCGAGCAGCTGGGTACCGGAGCCCAGTCAGCTCTGTGAGAAACAGAGCTCTGCGTGTGTGTGTGTGTCTGTGTGTGTCTGTGTTGTAGACACACATACACGCATAGAGAAAGATAATGACAGAGAGAAAACATGATAATGTAGAAAGTAAAACAGGAGCAGGAGAATGAGCGAGGAGGAGTGAACCTGACGATTATATCAGGAGAGTACAGCTGGAATGATAACACTATGAAGATAAATCCCTGTAGGTCTACTCAGAGAAGGGAGCTGTGGGTAACTGTAGGTCACAGAGGAGCCGATGCAAGCGCCCCACAAATGTCAAGTAAGCTGATTGGCCCAACAAATCGCTTACCGCTGTGTCTATTGGCAGATTGTAATTTTGCAAAATTTGTGTGTTCTTCAGGTTTCAAAGAAGGAAACAAACTGAGAGTTGCAGTTTTTAGCTCGAGAAATAACACCATTGATATGAAGTTAAATTCTTTCCCAGAAGATCGCGCTTTATGGTTCTGATAATGTTTGTCTTTTCCTTTTAGAAGTAAATACCTGCAGTAAATACCTCCAGATCTGGGATCTAACTGTCAGCATCCAGTAGCACTAAATCATATGAAAATGTTAAATATTATACCTGCCTACCTTACAATTTGGCACATCATGCTGCTTTATGTAATTTTGCATTCATCTGGTGTCAAAAATGCCAGAAAAAAGTTTCGGGCTGGCTAAATTTACCTGGACTTCATAAGAAAAGATGCTTTTTTTAAATAAAAAAATAATTTCAGAAGAAATTAAACATTCAGTTGATTATTAAAGTCTATTAATGTTGGAATATTCTTCATCTCATATAAAATTGTATAGCTAACATTTCACTTGTAATATGGTATTAACTGGAAAGCCTCAGTTTGAGTACATTGAGTCTTCTAGATAGGCCGAAAAGGAAACGGCTTACAACGAGTTGTTTACAGGCTCTGACCAACGACTACCCGGCTCGAGAAGCTCGAGATGCGTCATGTTCATTCATTTGAAATTAGACCTAATTATCTTGTATGTTGAGTTTGGTTTACCACAGGTTTCAGGACCAGTTATAGATAACAACGAGCTGTAGTCTGCTTAATTTTGTAACTTTTACTTTATTCTGTTTATGCGAATCCTGTTAAAAAAAGTTTCAAAAACATGTTTTAGCACTGTAAGGAGCTCTTGGTTGAATTAAAAACGTGACCTAAACAATCCAACGTGTATTTATGTGGCACATTTTAAGACAACCAGCACTGACCAAATGGCTGCAGTTCATAATGAAGGGCAGACAACATCAAAAATATGTGCAAATATACACGACGTGAAACACAATATAAACTTGTTCGATCATTATCTATTACAGTAAATCCAAGACGGTCTAGGTTTGTAAAAAGAAAAGGACAGGCTCTCTGTTTTCTGTTGTGTTTTCTTTTTTCTTTTTGTGATGCTTCACCCCCACTGAGAGGTCAAAGGTCACAATATCTATTCTTTTTCTCATGCTCCCACAGTAGCCACTTCACACGCTACACCTTCGTATCTGCTGGAGTAATAAGAGCGGATAGCATGTAAGATAAATGTTTAAGAGTCGCAGACGGCGAGACAAACGCACATTTGCTCTCTTCTCCAGCTTGTCTAGTTGCCGGGGTGACCAACCAGCCTGGCTCGATGTTTGAGGACGGGGAGAAAAAGAAAGAAAAGAAAAGAAAGAAAAGCGACCACAATCAATGAGACCCCTTTTTGTTTTAGTGGGAACCTCCTTTTACCCCCTGACGACACACACACACACACACACAGAAACACACAGGATGACTGAAATGGTGTGTGACTGTGTGCCTTTGTGTCTGACTCCCTCTGCCTCTCTCTGTGTGTGACTGACTTTATTTAAGACAAGGGCCCTTTTGTTTTAAGCCGGAGAATGGCTCCAAGACCGAGGCTGGCCCTGTAATTGGCCTACTTAGGCCCTGCTTAGCATGAGAAAAGCCTTCCTTGGCCCGGCAGTGCCAAGCTAACTCTTGTTTTCAGCCGACTCGCTGATCAGAATTCAGAATAGGGCCGAAACACCCCCCCCCCCACAACCCTGAACACACTCCTCCACCCTCTGCTTTAAATACACTGCACACTAATTACTTAACGAGAAAGATGGGGGGGGGGGGGGGGGGGGTGGTCTTCTACACTTTAACGGAGTGGCGGTGGAGTCCATTTAAAGGAGGAGGGGGGTGGGGAGGCCGGCTCTTTTTTCACCTCTTTCCTCCTCACTTACTTTTTGTCCCACTTTCAAAAAAGAAAAAGAAAGAAAAATGACCCTCTCTTCCATTCTCCTCTCTGTCCTTTATTCTCGAGTTCTCTCCTCTCAGAATCAGCCCAGATGCCACTTGTTGCTGCCGAAATCATTGAACTTAATTAGCGGGACAATGTGTGCGCGGTTTGCTAAGTTTGAGCCGTAAACAGAGTCGCAGCTCTAGAGAGAGGAGAGGAGAAGATAAGTTAGAGAGCGAGGAGAAGTTAGACTGAGCCGTGAGGTGAACATCTCCACGCTGGGCAGCATGGGGTCGTTCTCATGGAGGTAAATACCATCACTAACCAGGGTTTCATTTGTCATTATCAGCTCGGTTTGAGGTGTCTCAGGTAGGCTGTGTCTACAGGAAGCGTCTTGATAACCGGGTGGTCATTTATGTGTCTGTATGAAGCTGAACTTTTATAGCGTTAGTTATGTGCTGTGTAGAAAGCTATGCTTGAAGATTTACTTGTTAGTGGAGGTATTATTAAAATTTTGGCTATTTTATGTATTTTTTAAATGTTAACCTTAAAATTTGAGTTTCATTTTTCTTTTTTCCTTTTCATTTTCACTTTAAATTATTGTATCATAATACTGGCATTCATTAACTTCCATATATTTAGAGTAAACCATGCATACTACTACTTTCTTACTTCTTAATTTGCTTTCTACTAAATATTATAACATTTCCTTTTTTGGTGGTGACACACACATTCAAAATCATTGTATTGCAGAAGCGATATGGAATAGAAGGTAATGATCATATAGAGGTCAGGAATCTCTATCAATAGTTGCATTTCATGTACATCTTCTGCATTTGATTTTGGCATAAATAGAATTTAATTAAGTCAGAAAACTGAATCATTTTAATTTCCATAAACGTTTTTCATTTATTAGAGCTAGCATTCCAACATATTAGCCTTCATGGCTTTGATCCTTAGCCCTTTCCATACTTGAGGTGAATTCCCTGTACTGGAACTCAATTCAGTTTTAAGCGACAATGACACGACTGCTGCATTTTAAGTGAATGCAACATTGCTGCACTGCAGTTGTGCACTGAAGGTTGTTATTACCATCACATTTGTGGAGTTTTCTGGCCTGTCTTGTGTTTTTGCAATTTGTGGGTCTTATCTATAGAGTGCTAATTTTGACATTGCTATTATCCAGTAGCAGGTAGAGTTTAACTGGCCAGTGTATTGTGACTTTATTCTGTGATGTTTCAGGTATTTCTGTAAACAGTGTTTTAGCTTCACTGAACATTTTAGATACAGTGTGTTAAACATGTTGATGATTCGATTCATTACATTTACAGACATCTAACATCCATTGTTATGTTCTTCAGGACTCCAGACAACATTTCAGTTCTGTTCTTTTAGCATTTCCATTATTTTAAAAATACTTTTTTTTTTAAAAATAAATAATTCAAAAAATGCACTGAATTGTCTACATTAATACCTTTGAAACAATTTCTTTCCCCTTTCCAACTAATTACTTTTCAAACTATTCCAATATTACAGAGAATAACGATACTACAGTAAATTCTCAACAGTCTAACATGAACTTCACTGTCTGGTGTAAAGTGATCAAAACCTTTTGTTTCAAGCGGTGTTCATGTTTCAGTGGTCAGTACTGCAAGTGACACTTAACTCTTTGATCCGCTGACACTTCTGATACCTTCCAGGTTCTGTTTTCTTGTTCCTCTACACTACAAAAAAATAAAAACATTCAGTTGTTACTATATTTTTTCTAATATTTTTGTCAAGACAATGAAGTTGAGATGTTTAGAACAGTTCAAACAGCCTGAACTTCGCTTAAATCCCTCTGATTTTGTATTATTTGGATCTAAAAATGAACACCGAGATACATCAAATAAATCTGTTTGTGAAGATGTGTAGCTGCATATTTTTTGTCAGGCAGTATTTGAATTTGTGACTAGCTGTGTCTCGCCATTGGAGCCTTGATAACCATCATTTTCGTCTCTATTCACGGGTCCACATGATCACATGATTCCACTCAATGATGAGTTTGATTAACTCTCTCTCTCTTTCTCTGTGTCTTGATGTCTCTCGACCAGTCCATACTGGGTGGTGGTGAGTTGGGCTTGGGGAGTCCCGGTGCGGCGTCACCCACTAAGCCTGCCGGTCAGTACTACCAGCACTACAGCTCCAACCCGCGGAGGAGAACGCTGCACATGGACACCATGGGTGAGAAGCCGCACACAAAGACACACAATATATTTGCTATAGACACTCACATTGTCCCAGTAGCTCCTTTCTCCATCGCAACAATTAAAAGAGGAGCTAAAGAGCACGAACAAGGAAACTACTAGACATGTTAACTTACAAATAAATAATAAATGAATAAATGAAGATAATACATCTAATCCTGCAGTTATTTTTATAGCCACACAAATATGTCTTTATTATCACATAGATTGTAGATTAGGTGGATCTAATAAACTAGCAAATGACAAGTACACACTCATTGGAAATCTCCATCTGCCCTGTCGGTACATAAAGTGGCTCCACGTGGGTCCCGCAGTGTGCAGGTAGTGTTACCGCTCAGGTACCTGCTTGTAGAAGCTGAAGCAGTTTAAAAGTCACCATAAGTGGCAGAGAAGAGCTTTAGTTGACGTTTGTTCTTATTTGATTTCAGCGGCCACCTGTCAGCCAATTAGAAACCAGAACTGTTGATGGTTTTATTGATGACCAATCAATATTTCATATATGAGATTAAAAAGAAATTAAGGTTTCCAAATTTACAAACAGAAACGTTTCTTTCTTTTCGGTTTTACCGTGTCCTACAAAAGTCAGCTGGGTAGCTGGAAATGTTTTGCATTGATTTAATGAGTCATCATTTAGGTGTGTTGTTAGGTTGAGGTTGTGTTACATTGTGTTGGGATAACCATCTGTCCAAAGAGGCTAAAAATAAGTATGACTAAGGTTTTTTTGTGCTGTTGTCATTTTTAATAAACAACTTGTGGCAATTTGTGGCTCCCACAAGAAATAAAACGCCTTTTTAAAAAACTTGCATCATCAGCTTGCATTTTGCTGGTAGCAAAAACCTGATGTGCAACTCCACTGTGTTCCTGAAACACTGGATGCTATTGATGTTACCTTTTAGTCATTTGTTAATTGTTTCGAATCGTTTTTCTTGCTCTGAAATTCTCTTAAAACCATAAACATACAACTTTCTGAAATGTAACAATAAAATCAACCGTGACTATTAATTTTGAGATTTTCTCCTATAGGCTTTGAACTAAAGCTTAGACTAAAACAGCAACAAGAAAGCAGGATGTCAATAATCGCCTGCCTTCATTTGCGTTGACACTAGTGAACTATTTTAACCTGGACACTCTAGAAGACTGACAAATATGTGACTGTCCTGTCTTTTCTGTGTGTGTGTGCATTTTCAAAGAGGTGTTTAGGAGAGGAAAATTCTGGGAAGCCTTTTGAAAAGCAGGACAATAGCGGCTGTGGAGGTAGCCTTGGTAGCGTTAGCCTTGAGAAGACACAAACACACACACACGCACATGCACACGAGTCTCGAGGCCAATTTCTAAGGATGACGCTCTTTCATTTTTCCATCAAAGTCTCACCTTCCAAGTTAATAGACTGCTTCGTTGCTCCCCTTGAGAGAAACCCTGAAAATTAATATAAACATGTCAAAAGCCGCACACCCTGTTTTTATAAAACCAAAGGGGAAATAATTGACCCTGTCTCTTTTCGTATCCAGTCGTTGTGTTTCGTGCATCTTATTGTGTCGTACTTGTTTGCAGTGAAAGCCTCCTTTGTAAATATATCGGCCTCGCTCGTTCCTCTCCAGCTCATCGATTAAATTCAAACGACCCAGGAAAAAGAAAAAGCGTCTTTTAAAAGACCAATAAAAGCCACTTTGCCTGGTAAACCCTCATCTATTGTTTTATTGTTTTTTCCCCTCTTTTAGACATTCACACAAAAAAAGTGCGGAAGGTCCCTCCTGGCTTGCCGTCCTCGGTAAGTGATAACATGCTCTTTTTTTTGTGATATTTCAGATATTATTTCTGAGCTGTTGTCTCTGCTCGAGTGCCATGAAGAGGCTGCTCATTCTGTTGTAATCCGCGAGCTGGTTTTGTGTCAGTAAAGGGTAAAGCAAGCGTTGCGTGTCTTTGTGAATCTGTGTACATGTGGATGATTATGATGCTGTTTGGAGCTGAGCTGGACACAAACAGCTGTTGGCTTTTTTGTTGTCACGTTGGGTTTTTTTGTTTCTATTCATAAATAGTTATTTTTAGCGATTTAATGTCTGGTTTTTAGAAAACTTACAAGATAAAAAACATGAGATGATGCCCGAAAGGTGTTTTTTTTTTTTTCATGACTATGAACACATAAAAACTGTATATGTAAGGAATCTGTTTTATTCTTTAATTTGAATTGATTTGCTCAGTTGTATTCGTGACATTGTGGACTGAAACTCAGCAGTTGGTTTAAATGGATGGAGTTTTTCAGCAGGTATAAAAGGACAGAAAACCTAAAAGAAACTCAAAACTTGTTGAAAACGAAAAACTAGCGCATCAGCTGGCTTTGGAAATCTGTGGAAATGAAGATGCTGTCAGAGCCGAGCTGGACACAAACAGCTGTCGGCTTTTTGTCGTACATGTGGTGTTTTTTGTTTTGTTTTTGTCTTTTTACAAATCAAAAGAAGAAGAGTTTCAATTCAGACAAATAATCCTATAAAGGAAGCAAAGACTCTGTTCTCCTGCATTAGGAAATGGAAGCTGAACGCAGATTTTAGCAAACAAACGAGCTGTTTTTGTAGACTTAACTTTGTACTGGTTTCCCCAAAATATTCATTAGTTAGTTAGACGAAGAACGAGCAGGAGCACTCGTCCATCAGCTGAGAAAAAAAATCAACCTTCAATCAGTTTGATGGTGGATGATGAGTTTAGTGCACCAAAGTTTCAAGGATTTGCTGTTTTTTGAATGTTTGAGCTGTTTGCACTGCCAGAGATATCTGAGAGCCTGTGAATAGTTATTGTTCTTTGGCTAAAGCAGACTAAATGCACACTGGGGAAACAGTAAATATGATCAAACTTACAGAGAAAAAAGATCCTCTTTTGGTGATTATTGGTTCCTCCAAAGCTGAATCGACCCCGGCTGCTGTTCTGAGGCCTGACGCAGGGATGCTGTTTGACTCAGGAACAAAGCAGCTGTTTCCCTTTGTGTTCCTGGAGTCTTCCTCACCTTAAGAATAAGAGCTTCTATTATTTAGTTTGTGTTTTCTTTGTTCTTTGTTCACCTTTTTTGCACTCTTGTGTATTTTTGTCTTCAGTCTTACTTCAGTCATTTTCTTTTTCTTTGTCTTATAAATTCAGCATTTCAAACTGACATGTTATAGCTCTTTCACGGATCTGGAGCTCATTAGATTTATTTCTATCTCTTACTATGAGGTGTTATACATGTCGAGAGGTTTTTTTTTCTCGACGGTGACCTCATTAATGGCCAGTTAACGACGGCTGAATGTACGGCATGTCAGACGCTTCTTTGGCTCGGCGGGAGTCCGCCTTTCTGTGGCCTTGGCCTGCTTTGTCCCCGCTTCCTGCCTCTCTCCTCCGCCTCTCTGTGTCTACATCAGCTTGCACCAGCCGGTAGAGGGAGGAAGGAAGAGGAAGGGAAAAAGGAGGGGAAAAAAGGAAAAGCGGGCAGGAAGAAGTGTGCAGTCTGTTTAACAGGTTAACCCTGATCATCTTGGGTGCATGTGAATAAAAACGTGACGGCAAACAGTTGCCACTGCCGAGCAGGAATTTACCATCCAGTTACATCCCAAAATATTACAAAAACTTTTTTTGTAATATTCAGTTACTTTTGCATTTCTTCAACTCCACAACAGGATTTTTTTTCTTTTTCATCTTGATATCACTGTAACATTTATGGTGTAAAACATTGTTACAGTGGGAGCCATTGTTCTTCTATACCAGAACTAAAGACAGTAAACCCTGCAACAGTGAAAACTTTAAACCACTCCATCTGTTTCAACTTAGACCTTGTTTGTTTAGTGCTTCTTCTTCTTCTTTTTCTCCTTCTTCTTCTTTCATCTTCTTCTTCTTCTAAAAAAGTTGCCTGGAGGGTTTGTTGGAAAGCGTTTATGTGTATAGTTTGCGTACACAGATTGGGGACTGAGTCCTGCATGCCACTCTTGAGTGAAAGATGTTGATTTGAAGTGAATGCTCACTGTGTCTTCCTAATCTTAAACAAGTGCTATAGATATTGCGGTAAAGACAATGAAGAACATTGGCATCAGCCATCGTCTCCTTTCATATCTTGATAGAGCTTTACCACAAGACTAGACAAAACAAGGATAGGACAAACCTCACATCAAGACCGACAGATTTTGAGTATACATCGTCTGACTGATGACACATCCCTGCAAATCCCTGTAAATGTGATTGTTTGCACCAGTTGCACAATCTCTGACACTTTAGGATTTTTAGGAATTCTGCTGGTGCACTATTTGAAAATTGTGGTATTGAAAGGCAGCTTTCATTTATAAAATATTTTCAAAATACAAGCACTGTGTGAATATGTACCCTGTGGAAATCTGAAAATGCAAAAACAAAACGTCTGATGAGTTAAAACTGGAGTTTCTGATTGTAAATGATCTGGAAAATTCTCGCCACACCACAGTTCTGCACCAAAACATGGAGTGCAGCTTGTGCTGTTTATACGCAGTGAGATTTGCTCTGAAATGGTCAAACTATGGGACAGCAAAATCTTGATTAATCATAGAGCACTTTAATTAAGCTCATTTAAACTTCCTGTTTATTTACCAAATATTACTTTGGTAGTAAAACTTAATGCTGTTGATCAGTGGTGTCAGTCACACAGGCAACTAGATCTAAAGACTAAAGATTAAAATTTCTACCCATACCAACTTTACTGTAGGCTGTACTTGAAAGATCGGCGTAGCCATCACCCGATTGTTGGTGAAGTCCCACCATGAAACCTCAGACTGAGGGACTTTTGCTGTTGCCATGTTACCTTTTTAAAATGAGATGCCATGAAAATGGGGCACATCTCACTGTGAATCCCAGAGACACCACCTTGATATATCATCATTTTCCAAAATAGTTTCCAAAATAGGCTTCATGTTGTATTTAGCATCCCTTTAAGTGACAAATTTGGCCTATAAAGTTGTCAGGAAAGAGTTTTTCTACATACACACAGACTGTATGCAGGTTTTAGCCAGCAGGTTGGTATTGATTTCACTTTGATGCTACGTTCATCTTTAATGTCGTGATGGAACGGGTTTGCACGTTCAGTCATCACAACTGAATCAGTAATAATTGACTCCTAACTCATAATTGACTTAGACGTAGTTCATGTGTTTACCTTAGCATTTGTGACACTGTGTTCCTCTCAAGGCATGTTTGCTGGTGCAGATCAGTAGCTTAAATGTAAACAGGACAGGGTTGGCTTGTTGGGATCATTTCTGACACTTTTTCCACAATTTCATGTCATGTAAACCTTTCAGTCTCAGCTCAGCTTCATTTGTACCACACAGCATCTTGAGTTTTCTGTTTTGTACTTGTAGCGGATTGTCTATTGGCCAGCTTGCTCAGGAGTTTTGGTCTCTAACCTTCCCATGACTTGTGCGCTGGATAAAAACCTCACACTCATGTCTGACTGAGTTGTTCAGCTGTAAAAGTCTAGTGTCAACAGGCAGGTGATCCAGGTTTTGGATCTCTCTGCACTTACTTCGCCTTCATGTCTGAGCTGTCTCCTCTCTCCGTTGTGTTTCTGTTGCCACCTCTGTGATGTGACTAATCCTGCCTTCTCCCCCCGTTCACATGTAGAAAAAATGAACAAGGAGAGGACCTAGTGCCTGTGAAATGGAGAGGTTGGTTCCCCTGCTGGAAAATAAATTCCAAGGCACTTTCCACCAGCTTTTTGGCACGAGCATTGGCTATGAGCAGGAAGTGAATCGAGAGCTTTGTAGGGCTTAAATGCATTCGGTTTGTATTTTAGGTGTCTTTGAATTGCACAAGGCCCAGGTTCTGTCGTGCCATGAGTCAGCTTCAGCACCCGGCCTCGTCTGAAGCTCTGGCTTTTATTCTGAAAAAGCATTGCTGACAGGTGTTCATTTTCATAATCGCTTCTGTTTGGGTTTGAGATGTACTTTAGACATTTTAGAGAGGGAGGGAAGAGATTTAAACTTTGTATTTCTGAGAAAAACACTAAAACACACACTTTAACACAATGTTAAAGTGTGTGTTTTAGTGTTTTAGTGACACTGAAAACATCGACATCGTCTGATCTTTGCGTTGTGTACCCAGCTATCGTGGCCTAAACAGAATTAGAGTGCTAACAAAGAGGAACAGCTAGTGGCTAATACCGCATGACTTTTTATTGAGCGCATTCATCAAAATGTTAATAAGTATGAGATAAAAAATAAAATAAAAACAGGTCTCAGCTGCAGATAACAGCTAACTGTTATATACGGGTATTTCATTATAATAACCCCCCCCCCCAAAGAAAATATAAAACTTACACAGCTTTTATATAAATTGTGTATCCCTGCAACATAGATGCTCTCCTCTAGTCTATGTATCTATGTTCATGTTGAGGCTGAGTATATACCAAAACACTTCGGACCTTTTTTTAAAAAGATAAATGCTGTCCACGTGTGTAGTGTCACTCATATGAGCAATGACGGCATCCCTGAATTACCATAACACGGTAATACCCCGTACTGCCAGAATAAACAGCTGGCTTGCATGCAGTTGTGATTTTTCTTAAGTAAATAAAGCAATATGTGTTGAGCCCCCTTTTTTTCTTTTCTTTTCTTTTTTGCACGAATCCAGGAGGGGATGCAGATCTGTTTTTTCTTACCAGACTGTTTCTTGTTTCTTACAAAACATTCCATATGAAATTGATAGTTGGTGCCTTGCTGTAGGGATTGAACCTATAAAGCCTGTCAGCTGCTTATTTTTAACCTCGGATCAGCCCTACAAAGAATT